CCCTAAAATTTCAGCCTGCTAGACTCCGTGGTTCCTGAGATATTAATTTACCCGTAAAAAACTTTCTCGAGGCCGTACGTGTTACCCGCGGGTACGGGACGGCTGAATTTAAATTTGCCTGACTGCTAGCGAGAAACACTACACCAAAATTTCAGCCGCCTAACTTTTGTGGTTCCCGAGTTGAAAGTGCGGAACAAAATGTGGGACACAAACACAGACAACCCGATAACAATATGCGTTTTGTAATGCTGTTACACAGCACAAAACGCATAATAATGGATCAGTAAAATCAACATAGTATATTATAATCCGCTCTAATCTGAACCAACGGCTTTTCCAAGGAATTTGCCTTCACTGGTGTGCAAAGTTACGGTGCTAATAGAGAAACAGCAACACGCGTCTAATATAAATGTCTCACCTCTTCAGAGATCGCTCGAGTGGTCGTTCACTTTCTCATAGATTCCCCACCCAAACCAATTCGTGACGCTTGGTGGTTTGGGCCTTATCAAATTTTACTTTCTCGCATGGCTGCATTAGATATCCTGCATCTTACACAGATTTTCAGTGCTTATATATATATCGATCCATTCACGGAGAGGCATGCTAAGCAAGCATCCCTCGCGTCATTGCTCTCTCCGTCACAGCCATCGATCGCGTACATTTCCTAAGTATCTGTATTTGTAGGGGAAAGAAACGTTTTTGCAGCAGCGGTATGGACGATTGTGGTACTTGCGACCGCTGTATTCACAGGCCGTGTATTGCTGAGAGCAATCGCGAGTACGAGGAGCACGGAGTGATCGGCAAAGGTGCCTATGGTATCGTGTACTTAGTCACCCATGTACCAAGCAATAAACAGGTTCTTTTCTTTTCTTTTTTCCGATGAATTTCCGATGAAATCGTCTAAAATGGTGGAAAATCATGATCACGTTTGTTTTTTTTTTTTTTTTCGACTAATTTAACCCCGGGAGCTGAGAAACGAAAATTTTGCAATTTAGTCGCCGTAGACGGATCCTGGATGGACTTTCTGGAGACGGGAGACGACGAGGGACGGAGACAAGAGCCCTCTGTC